TATTCCAGCTCCACCTCCTAGAGGAGGAGGAGGAGGGGGAGGGGGAGGAGGAGGAGGAGGTCCACCAAGAGGAGGAGGAGGAGGTGCTCCGGGACCAGCAGGAGGAGGAGGGGGAGGGGGAGGGGGAGGAGGAGGGGGTGCTCCACCTCCTTTTGGAGGAGGAGGTGGTGGAACTTGTGATTGTCTTGATTTTGAACTGAGGGACGAGCGACGCTGAGGAGGAGGAGGTGGGGCAGGACTACCACTGCCAGGACGACGTGGAGGAGGAGGAGCATGAGACGGAGAAACTTTAGTAGTCGCAGATCTCAGAGGAGGAGGAGGAGGAGGAGGGGGAGGAGGGGGAGGCATATTGTGAAAGGTCACACCCTGCATAAATTAAATAATCCAATTAATAAGGTATGATATTATAATTACAAAAGATATTTAAAAACGAAAGAAACACACAAATGACAAACTAGACCAACATAAAGAAACTGTTTACCATAACTATACAAAATTACAAAAACATGACAAGTACAGAGGGAGAGAGAGAGAGAAATCACGGGGAAGGAACAAAAAGGAAAAGAAGAGAACAGGCAGACAGACAGACAGATGATTGTTGGATTGTTGTAATCATTATGACCACAACAATTCAATTGTATGATGTTACTATACAACCTGATAACAGATAATAACTAGCAGTGTGTGTCTCTTACTCTCACTCCTAATTATTATGTAACTATAACTATACTGAAATGATCACATCATGTGTGTGTACTGGTACTGGGCAGTGTGTCAGTTTGTATCATTGTAACAACTGAAACCAGCAATAGAAGGAAACACATTGACATCATTTACCAACTCAATCAACAAGTGCACCTACAGGCAGATGTACACGTACATTTACCCAGTAATATAGAGTATACTGCCACAGTAGTAATGAATTTATCAAAGGAAAACCATATAACCACATCCACAATATTACACACGTATACACAGTGTAACAACATCTATACACACACACAAACACTTGTAATCCAAATGCTCTTCAAGGTTCATGAAGCACTACTTATGGTATGAAAATGCGAAGTAATTAGAGACAATTATCACTTTAACTAATAACAACTACTCAAAAACTTTATTAACATTTAGTATGTGTATTTATTACTATTATTATAGCTGTAGGGTGAAGCCATAACAATATGGAGCGAGAGCCAATTGGATACTTACCAATAATCATTTAATTAACTAACAAATACATACATAATCATAGAAATGGGAAGCTAGAAATGTAGGAAGAGAGAGAGAGTGATAGATGGGGAGAGAGAGGAGGGGAAGGGAAAAGATGATACAGTGCATTAGCAATGTATTCACTAGAGAAAATATACAATTTATAAACAAGTTATATTGAATCTATTTCAATGGATAAACTGGAAATCAAAACTATACATGTACATACAAGGAATATACATATATACTAGAAAAACACATGTCCAAAAGCGCTCCAGAATACAAGGTATAACAAATAAAGACGGCTACTTACAACTGCAGAGAAATGACGACCTCACTAGAGCTGCAAGGAATAAGAGCGAGCGATACAAGGCAAGAGTATTAAATTCTGGAGCAATCCTGACTGTTGTCTTCAGTCTCTTTCAGACAGTTCGTTTATGGCTTGTCCGCAAAAGTGACCACGCCTACATTAATGGTTATTAGACTGATGTAAACGGGACCGTATACTACAATAATAAATACAAAATTAAAAATGAATGAACGTGGGTGGCATCTCAATAATTCTCAATATTCTGCAGGAGAATGCAGAAAAACATCCTATAAAGAAAATTAGGAAGTTACAAGCAACAATGACAACAAATAACTTACTTGTGGGGCAGTGAAACTATCATTAGTATTGGGATGATGATTGCCTACTGTGATTTTGCATGATAAATAATTGTACACAGTACATGTTCTTTACTTGGAATTAATTTGTGAGTCTGCACTAATGTATCAGCATTAGCAGTTAGAGTCTTAATTGTACCAGTATGGACATGTTCTCCATTAGTTACCCATGGAGACAGTAAGGGAGGTTTTGATGAAAAGGAGCTAGGGTCGACTGGGTCGTGGTTAATTGGCACTAGTTTATTCCGTTTCACTTTTCGCAGTATTTTTGCAGTCTTAATCTTTTCATTTTTTGAGTGTACCTGTGTATAAATTGTCACAATATTGATCATTTCGTTGCATTATGGACTGACTTACAGATTCAGAACTAACAGTAGCAATAAGATTATCTGAAGATCGATCAGTAGTACTAGTTAAATCTTTCACCAATACTTCATTTACTGGCTCAATCTCTGCAGTTACCTACATGTGTGCATACAAGTTATTGTAACAATTATTACTATCGTTGATTTTAACTGTTATTATGCCGTTATTATCATCATCTTGTTTGTCATGGTTCCCTTTAACTGATTCAACAGTTTCTCTTTCAACTCTATCAAATAATAATTCATAAATAAATTCATAATTCCTTGCTGTGAACCCAAAGTACATCTACTGCACCTTTCTTCTTCCTCTCTCCTTCTTTTCCTTTCTTCAATTCTAGCCTGTTTTGCTAATTCTTTCTCTTTTAGTTCAGACTCATGTTGCTCATTGACTCTTACTGACAGTGTATTCCATTCATTCGATACTCTTTCAAGTAACCACTTCATGGCATGATTTATCCTCCGATCCATCCTCCTACTGTTATTTCTCAAACAGCTACACTGCCACTAAATGAGACAATGGAGCTAACATGACAAGTAGTAATGAGGAGGGATCATCTCACCACTCGAGTAATTATTTGAGTTACCAATCCATTATTAATGCTTTCTTGCAATATACTAGATAGATCCAATAAATTAACAAGTTCGGTAGGGCTGACACAGTTTTCATTGTCAGTTTTGTTGCAAATGACTAGTAATGGCTTCCCTATCATTCTATTGTCTAGCAGGACTTTGTGGAGCTCTTCTTTACTTTCATGGAGTTTCTCTCTATTACTGCTTCCATCAATCATGTAAATGATAGCGTGACACTATAAATAATAAATGGAATGTTTTATACAGTAATCATCATTTCATCACACAGTAAGTAAGAATACTAAGCCAGATAATAGCAGAGGGATAACTACATTACATTACATTCACCTGCGCTTCACTGTAATTGCATGTAAATGTAAATGTATATGTACATCTACATGTATGTGAATTGGATATACATGTGTAACAAATAAATTCATCAACAAATTGTACTTGATTTACTGTACATGCTTCAAGGGCTACCTTGTACAAATGTTTATACAATAATTATACATGTCAATGTACATATACACAAACACAAGACAATTTTGTCATAACAATGATAAATGCATGTACATGATGGTGGCTGATCAGTCAATCATATAAAAACAATGCAATTACATGCATTGTATAAGCATGCATGATGATACACAAGTGTACTTTCATATTAAATTTTAATAGCCTGAAACTGTATTTTGTGGAACACATGTACATGCTTGATTGCTTGTGTGTGCATACTGTATAGTGTGAATTAATAATAGTACTATAGCAATAAATACAACAAACATGTACCGGTACATGTACATGTACATGTAGCTGTGGAGAGTTTTCACAAGTTATGCCTTTAAGTGAGTTAAACAGCCTCCTTTATTAGTTGGCAAGCACTATATGTACAATAGTAACATGGCTTTTTAGAGAAGCTTTTAAAATCATTAAAAAATTCCAAATTTTGATTGGAATCCACTCAAATTTCTACACAACATAAGAAAATGCATGCGCACATGTATCAGGAAAAATTATAACAATGCAGAATTCTCTCACACAAATACATGAAATCAATTATACACATACCTGTGCATAATATTTAGGCCAAATGCTACGAATATCTACTCCTCCCCCAACTTCAGCTAATAAAATATTATATCTTCCTTTTCTAATTTTTCTTGTTGTGTATCCAATTGTTGGCAATGGAGCGGTATTTTCCTCATCTACACAGTAATAATGATTATAATAACGACTACCAGTGTACACTCTACCGTCTGTTAGGATCTGTAACAAGCTTGATTTACCAGCACCGTCTAATCCAAGGAGAGTGATTGTAATATCCCTAAATACAGGTCACAATAAGTCTTAATATTGCTACTCACCTTCTGGATTTTAAACTATTCCCCATTGTACACGAAAAGATGAAAAACAAAGCTCAAAATGTTAGTCAAAATGTACCAGTCTGTTTTCCGGTCGCCATGCCAACATTGACCACGCCCATAAATTAATAGTAAATACTTTTCAATAGCATGCAAAAATTATTTGTAATTCAAATGATAATAATCAGAACAGCAAGTATAATACAAGTTTCTTATTTATTGTTAGGATCAAAATATTTCTGAATTCCAGCCCAACACTTGAAATAAGCATCTTCTAAAGTACCGCAATCTTTCTCTCCCCATTGTGTAACAGCCATACTGAATGAAGACTCAAACATAAAGGCCTAAAAATTATGATAACAGCAACAATAATATTAACAAAAACAATAATATTAACAATACCAATAATAATAATGATTGATAAGATGATGAACATAAAAAGACAATATGAAAAATATTACCATTATACACACGTATGCATAAATGTACAATATGTACAGTGTGCATGTACATGTACATTGTACTGCAGAGTGCCTTTTTGAGGACTATAAATTTCGCGGTTTTTATTTTGCAGATTAAATTTATGTCGTCTGCTATCTTGTACAGTATTAATTTGATTTTCATGGAAGTAATTTCCACGAATCTTCAAAAAATTGCAAAGTTCACAAAATTTATAGCCCTTGAAAAAGGCACCATACACTAATTTCTTGAATTCATACTTCATTAATTTAACATAACAGTATTTTGCTATCTACACTAATGGTTTAAAATGGGTTTAGAAATAAACTAGTTGGTGTGTGGAAGCTGATCTAACAACAATTACTTGTGAATACAATTAATCTGGTTTCTGAACAACTTTAATGTACATGTACATGTAAGCTAAATTAATCTAATCTAAATCATATCCAAATTGGTATTTCATTTTTATTTCTATTATCTTATCAGTAACTTTTTGCTTTTTTGGTTTATCCTACATCTACAATGTACATGTACATGTAAGTGTGTTACATTAATAATAATAATAATAAATAATAATCACAATATTAATGATAACAATATATTTACCATGTTATTCTCCAGCTTAAAAGGTTTCAGTTCATCCGTTGTAGCTTTCTTAAACATTGCTGCATCAGGTCCATGTGGTGTCATCATGCTATGGAGTGTTGCTCCTCCTGGTCGATTGTCCTTCTTAGCATCATAGACTCCACTTATGATACCCATAAACTCACTCATACAATTACCTATACAATACATATAAATGAATATGTAGTTACCATGTAACACTTATACATGTACATGTATATGTATTTTGTGGATATTTGAGTAGCTATGTACATGTATATAAAAAAGTATATAACTATATTTCAGCCCTAGTAATTGATCATGTCAAAAGCAAATTCCTTCCTGATTTGCAAAAAATCCATAAAAAATCAATACTCTACCCACATGGCACATTGTAGAATTCACTAAATTAAAATCTATGAATCGGAAATTTAGCAGATTTCGTGAAATGTAATTCACTCAAAAAACTGTTTACATGTACATGTACAACTGTATATGATAGTCCACTTACACATGTACATGTACATGAATAGCTCTACACACACATGTACATGTACGTAATGACAAAATATTTGAATTGCACTATTCTTTTCAGCCCTAGTCCTAGTACATGTACACTGTAAATACTCATGTGAATTAGTTAAATGTATGATTTACGGTGATAATAAGGAGGCCTGAAGGTATGCTCTCCCACTGACCAGCGAGGAGGGAATATAACAAAATCTGCGACAGCCACACCAGGAGTGTTGCTAGGGCACGTCAAGACAGTAAATATGGATGGATAATATTTCAATATTAAATTATGATATCATACAAGTTCGGTGGTTATTATGATTACTTACAGCATGATCAAATGACACTGTATTTATTACCATGAAAGTAGACAAATCATATTTAAACGGTGCGTAATTACCATGCCAACCAACCACATCAAAAGGTGAATGATCCTACATGAGTATATACACAGGAAAAGAGAGAGGACGTTTAACATAATGGGAAAAGAAAATTAAAGCATGTGTTTTGTCAGATTTCAATTTTGTTATTTTCATTCTAATTTCAAAGCCATGTACATATACTGTACATGTACATGTCAGCTCATGAAGCTCATGTTTTTAGCTCACTTAGCATGACATGTGGAGTAGTAATGAAGGGAATGAAGAAATACAGAAAAATTAATCAAAAAATATTTTCTCTAACTTGAGAACAAGTGAAGAGTTTTCCTTGAAATTTCCCAACAACATTATAAGATATATTATCTCTGTCCTCATACCACGCAACAGGAGACAAGAAGTCTCGTGGATTTGCTAAACCATTCGCTCCTAAAAATAAAATAAGGATTACTAGTATCGTATATACATGTACCTACATGTACATGTATACCGTATTTCCTCATAAAAACGCCTACTCCCTATAAACGCCCATGCCTGTATAAATGCCTAGAGACAGCATATAACTTTGACAATAAACGCCCATGCTTGTTTAGACGCCCATTCTTGATTAAAAGCCTATACCACACCCACCTGCCCCATCCACGTGGTACATGTACCTACTACCTTACGTAGTCTACATTCTACAATGGCAGCTGCAGCTGAGAAGGCTAAGAAAACTCATTGAAGCTTTGATGTCAGTTTTAAACTACGCGTTGTGTCTATTGAAACATGGTGGTAAGGATTATTTTTGGTTATAAATGCCAACCTCGTATAAACGCCTACTTCATTTAAATGCCTGGCAAACGGGTCTTTATAAGAAATAAATGCCTAGGCGTTTCCACGAGGAAATACGATATATACTCTGAAATTAAATTTAAGTACATGTACTTACATGTACATGTATATGTATAAAATTGTAATTGCTCTAAAAATTATTACTTAATTGTCATATTACCATACTTGTATATTTTAATAAGTGATTTGAAGAAACAATGTTTCTCATGTAACATTATAATGATGTGATTCCATTGTTTAAGCAAAAGTATTTAAATGACATCTCTCAATGGTAAAAAGTAATTGCTTGATAATGAAATATATTACATTTACATGTACTATGTATAAATTGTACATGTATATGTATGTGTGTACATGTACATGTGGTGTACATGTATGTCTAATTTATACATTAGCAGTACTTGTATATTACACTGTGAACATGTGTATTATGTTATATAACAGTACATTACATCATGTATGTACAGGTATGTCACTAGTTACACAGGCATATGTTTCTCTATACTTGTTAGTTGTTACATGTACACGTACATGTACATGTATTAGTGGCATTAACTAACCAATTGGTCCAAGATTAGGCAACTGAAAATGTCCATTGTATACCTCAAGAATGTATCCTCTGCTGGGGCCAGACACATTCACTGAAAACTTCATCCCTTGCTACATGTATAAATATTAATATAATTATCATAAATATACCATAAATTAGGAAAATTTTATTAAAAAATAATAGGGGTGAAAAATTTCAAGTTGTACATAGCATTTTGGCGAATTTGGCATTTTGATGGCCATTCGCCAAAATAAAAATCCCCCATTTTGAGCCATTATACGTATGCTCAATAGCACGTGGCCACAAATTCGCAAAATTAAAATCCGCCAATCACCAAAACTTAGCATTTTGGCAAATTTTAGCCCCTCAAAAATTACCCGCTATACGGTACATGTATTTCATATGCTAAAACTTTAAAAAGCAAATTTTATTTCAACAGTGAAAAATTCTCAAGCTAAGGTAGTTAGTGTACACGTACATTAACATGTACATGTAGATGCAATTATACATGTACCTGAATGACAACAATTTCATTGGGCTGAACATAAAGCTGTCCAAATTCAGTGTATATATGAAGGGGCCCTTCTTGTGGAACTACAAGCAAAATATTCTTAATTTAACATAAAATAAATAAATATAACATTATACCTATCAGAAAGTCTCCATCAGCATTATACATACACTTGTCTGTCATTGAAGTATTGCATAAATAGATATAGACTGATATGCCATTCCTTGACTTAGGGTCACCAGCTCCACATATTGTATTCAGCCCCTATCATTAAAGAATCAATAAACTAAATAAATTAATATTGTAATTATTAACTTGAACAAAGTCGGTCTTCTCTTCAGGTATTTTAAAAGGTTGCCAGCGGAACTAGTCCTCTAATAAAGGAAGTGATGTGGATTATAATTGATATACCTGGTTAGGATTGGGTGGCCATTTTGAAAAGTCACTCTCAACTCTTCCTTCATCAAGAGGTTTGTATGGAGTGTGACCAACGGATGGTCTGATACGATACAACCAACTAAAATAAAATAATTATTAATAAAATATAAATATTATTATTGCAATAAATAAAAATAATAATGTCCTTCTTTTATTGAAAGCCATGCACTTCAATTAAATAAAAATTCATATCACAAAAATAAAAATAAGAATGCCTTCCTTTTATCTAAAATATCAATTACATAAAAATTGATATTATAATAAATAAAAATAATAATGACCTTCTTTTATTAGTTTCCCTTGGACAAGTAAAGGCAGTCCCTGACAATTGTTCAGCATACAAACCATAAGGACAAACCTGGGGACTATTCTACAAACAGTTGATGTTAAAAATATCACTATTATCATCATTATTAATATTTATTATTATTATTATTATTATTATTATTATTATCATTATTATTATTATTATTATCAAAAACAAGAACTAATTAGAGCTAATAATAGAGAAAAACAAAAAAGGGAAAGGAGAGGGAAGGCCCTATGAGGAAAAAATAAAATAAAAATAAAACAAGGAAACTATACATGTATTTTAAAAAAGCTAATAATAAGGAAAGAAGAAAGAGTCAGACCTGCCCATCCACATCGG